CTTAATTTTATAGATGACAAGGGGACATGTACAAGAGTACAGAATTGCTAGAATAAATGAAGACACTTGTTCCCTTGGCAATCTCCTTGCCTTGGTGTGAAGACCACATAAGCTGGATCTTCAGATCTTTATGAATGCCAGTCATTCTGTAACACCGAAAATTACTATTTTCACACTGACGATTACTGTTCTCGATTGTCAACATTTGGGTACCTAAATCCCATTTCCCAGCCAATCTCTCACACTAAGTGAGAGAACATGCTGGGAAAGTCAAGTGTAGTGGCCACATGAAAATCCTTTATCACTTGTGAGGCTCAGTGATGGATTTGGGACATGCAGACATCACGTTTATTGGACTTGGGCCTTCCAGTGGAAGCCTTCAGCCTGCTGGAGGTACATGGAATCAATGGATCCCTACCAAAGAGCAGCTCAGTTTTTCCAGAGCTTACCCTTCCCTGGAAGAGTGAGATGACTACAAAATACTGATGCTGGGGTCGGTAGGAGCGTGGGCATGCACACACATGCTTAGACATGGAAGATGTGAATCATCTTTCTGACAGTCCTGTGAACTGTGCAAGTATCTGAGGCAAAAACGTGTTATTGATACTGTGTCAGTGGAGAGGAAGTAAGACATAAGCACTTCAGCTAATTTAAATGGGACTAGGTTTTGGTGCTCATGAAGGACATGACTGTGTGTCATATGTGGAGAACTGCTAACCCTGCCAAGGATGCTGTTTTCTGTGTTCCTCAGAAGGAAACCATCCCCATCCCATATCCTAATTCCTGCTACTAATTCTAGCTTCCCCCCATCCCCATTTGGGTTTCCTATTGGAAACCAAAGCAGCATCAGGAATAGAAGTGAAGGGTGGGGGGCTTGTTGGGGAGATGTTGGGCAGAGAGGGGGTACATGTAGAGAGGACACCAGAGAACTCCATGAAACAGCACAGACTGAGTCAATGAGGTGCTCTCCTATAAAGACACACAGAACCAAAATGTGACTAGGTGTCACACTCAGGCCACAGGAGACACTCACATTCAAATGTGCCACATTAAAAGCTGAAACAACATTTCTAGAATCAAGAGTTGTCTGCTGCTGGGTCCCTGAAAGCTCCTTTCCAGGCTGGGCCAAGAAATACCAAGTTTCCCTGCGCTCCCCTAGGACAGGCAGGCAGGGTGGAGGTGGAGTCACACAGCAGGGGCGGGGCGGGGAAGTAGGTCTCCACAGCGACCTCTGTGTAGAATCAATGACTTAGAAGCCTTAAGAAGTGGGATGTGCTGATTTGTTGGGACTTTTCAGTGGGAAATGCTTCTGAAATGTTGACTTTTTTCTCTTGGTAAGAGCAGCTGTTGACTGATTGGGCAATACCCTGTTTGGTGAATTGGGACTCTGCCTGGCCTGAGGCTGTTTTCTAGGTCCACGATCATTATTTGTGCTCCTTCCCTAAAAGGCATGACAGATAATACTTACTTTCCCTCCCCCCTCCTCCTCTCTCTACTGTAATTTAAAGCTGTTTAAGTACATGACATTACAAATTTGACCTGTTTAACCAAGGCTCCTCTGAAGGAAAAGAGAGCAACAGTGATTAGACATGGTTGATGGGCAGATGGCTTATCCCCAGGAGACTGAAAGGGCTTGAAGTGAGTGCCTCGAGGGACCATCAGGTCTGCCTGATAGCCACCAGGTGGGAAGGACACCAGGTGGGAAGGTGGTAAACCCAATGGGGAAACAGACATCTGCTAGGGCATCGCAGCAGCAATGATCCCCAGGGTCAATGATCAGAAAGTTTCTATTCACCAGCATCAAGAGCAGTGCCTTGGCCAGGTGCAGTGGCGCATACCTGTAATCCTACCTACTCTGGAGGCTTAGGCAGGAGGATGGCAAGTTTGAAGCCCAGGCTGGCAGGTAAATGAGACCCTGTCTCAAAATAAATAAATATATAAATAAATAAAGCTGGGCACCGTGGCACACCCCTGTAATCCCAGTGGCTTGGGAGGCTAAGGCAGGAGGATCACAAGTTCAAAGCCAGCCTCAGTGAAAGCAAGGCACTAAGCAACTCAGTGAGACCCTGTCTCTCAATAAGATATAAAATAGAGCTGGGGATGTGGCTCAGTGGTCGAGTGCCCGGGTACCGGTACCAAAATAAATTTTAAAAAAAATTAAACAAAGTTTGGTGTAGTGGTGCATGCCTGTAATCCCAGAGACTCAGGAAGCTAAGGCAGGAGGATCGCAAGTCCAAGACCAATCTCAGCAATTTAGGCCCTAAGCATCTTAGAAAGACTCTATCAAAATAAAAATTTTTAAAAAGGGCTTGGAGGGGCTGGGCTTCTGGCTCAGCGGTAGAGCGCTCCCCTAGCACCGGCAGGACCCGGGTTGGATCCTCAGCACCACATAAAAATAAAGGCATTGTGTTGTGTCCATCTACACCTAAAAAATAAATGTTTAAAAAGGGGGGGGGGCTGAGAGTGTTGCTCAGTGGTTAAGCACCTCTGAGTTCAAACCTCAGTACCAAAAAATAAAAAGGGATGGGGTGTAGCTCAATGGTACAGCATCTTCCTAGCATGTGTGATAGGTTCAGTCTCCAGCACTACAGGAAAAAAAAAAAAAAAAAAGGAAAGAAAGGAGCTGGAGATGTAAAACACTTGCCTGGCAGTGTTTAAAGGAGAGGAGTTAAGCTGCAGACTTTACAGAATGACCTGACACTAACTGCATTCTTCTTCTTCTTTTTTTTTTTTTTTGTACCAAGGATTGAACTCGGGGTCACTCGACCACTGAGCCACATCCCCAGCCCTATTTGTATTTTATTGAGAGACAGGGTCTCAATGAGTTGCTTAGTGCCTGGTTTTTGCTAAGGCTGGCTTTGAACTCGCCATCCTCCTGCCTCGGCCTCCCGAGCCACTGGGATTACAGGTGTGCACCACTGCACCCAGCCAAACTGAATCCTCATTGCTACAGCTTGAGTAAGGTTTGCCCCCAAAAGTTTGTGTGTTGGAACCTTGGTCCCCACTGTGATGATGCTGAGGTGAAGAAGCCCTTAAGAGGTGGGGCCTAAAGGAAAGTCATCAGTCATCAGGACTCGGCCCTCATGAATGAACTAGTGCTGGTCTTGCAGAATGCACTGGGTCTTGTAGGAATGGACTGGGAGGGCAGGAATCATGATCCCCATTCTGTAGGTAGGGAAAACCAAGGCATAGAAAATGATTTACCCAAAGTTACATAATAAGTCAGAAAAAAAACTGGGTTAAGGGTCAGGTAGAATCATTCATGTACCTTTCCAAAATACCCACATCTGGATCCTCCCCAGTTTCCTGCTTCTTGTCTTGCCATGTGACCTCTCTCATGAGCCTCTACCATGGAATGTCATTCTCCACAAAGTCCTCACCAGAAGCCAGATGCTGGTACCTCCACATCTGTAAGCTAAATAAACCCTTTATTTGCAAATTACCCAGCCCCGGGTATCTTGTTTTAGCAACACAAAATGAACTAAGAAATTCACCTATCTTCACCACCCTACAGACTCTTCGCTTTGGCATATCCTCCTTACTGCCCTGTTGAAAGCCCAGGATCTCTGTGCTTACAAGGAATTTTCCATTTTCCTGTCCAGTTGTGGTATGGGCATTGGTCACTGCATGAGCAGGACATTGGACTAATTTCACCAATGATTTCCTCTTAAATGGTTTTGTCCTGTTTCCCTGGTAACCAACCAAACTAAAGCTTCTTCCAACCCTTTCCACTCCTCCCCCCACCCCCCAACTCCTTCGCATTCTCTCTTTTTTGGACAAGGTAAATATGAAGGTCTGTGGCCACTTCAAGGCTGCAATCCCTTGGATAGTAAGAAAACTTCCAGCATGGCACTTTCTGCCCAATTCTGGACACTTGTTAGAATCCTGTACCGCCCAGTAGAATATACATCAGGGGGCTGTTTCCTACCCACCATCCATGCCCTGTCCAATGTTCTCTTGCCATATTTTAGAATACAAAACAATCTTTCCTCTCTGGCATCATTTCAAAGAAAAGAATATAAATCAAAGGCCCAACAGATTCTAAAAACTGTTCCTCTTTAGAAATTACCAAGAACATTTCCCTAGAAAACAGAGGTGGGTCTATATTTTAGTGAATGGTCTGGAATTTGGAGAGACCGTTCCATATTGCCACTAGGTTTGGCTTCTATTTTTGCTTGAATTTTACTTAGCTATATGGATTTTTTTTTTTAAGAATTCAAAGGGGCTTTTTGTCTTTACCAGTGATTCTTAGTGCAAATCTCCCCCCTCTCTTTTTAATACTGATAATTGAACCCAGAGGTGCTTAACCACTGAGCCACATCCCCAGCCCTTTTTATTTTGAGACAGGGTCTCACTAAGTTTCTTAGGGCCTAAGTTGCTGAGGCTGGTCTCAAACTTTCGATCCTCCTGTCTCAGCCTCTGAATCACTGGGATTACAGGTGTGCACCACCGTGTCTGGCACAAGTCTCTCATGGTGACATTTGGGGCGGAGCCTTCACACCACATGTGACACTATCATCTGCAATGTGCCTTTCAAGGCCATTCCTTCTGTAATAGGTCACAGTTGCACATTATACTCTAATTATATTATGGTCACATGACCCTTACTGTTTATAGCAATTGTGCCTGCAGTTCTAGAGTGATAGAACTGTGAAGGTCATGTGGATTCTGATTCATCATCACAGTGCTTGTGTGAAAGGGAGGGAAGGAATCATGATCCCCATTCTGCAGATGAGGGAACCAAGGCATAGAAAGAAAGGTGATCTACCTGAAGTCACTCAGTAAGTCAGAAAACAAACTGGGCTCAGAACCAGGTAGGATCACCCATGTACATTAGTAACTTGTCAAAAAAACAAAACAAAACAAAACCAGATTGTCCCCTTATATGAAAGCACACACACTAAAGTAAGTAGTTTTGAGGCCACTTCAAAGTTCCACACTTTCTATGAAGGTTTCAGAAAACCTTTAACAACTCAAGAACCACAAGGTAAGAACCAGAATCACATTAACTTTTTAGTTAAATGCTCTGACTCACAGACAATACCAATGATTACAATTCACTGACAACCTGGTTACCAACAAGGAGAAATTTTAAGGGAAAAATTCATCCATTCAAGAACTAAACCTCGGCACACAGCTCCTTTCCTGGCATCACTGTCTCAATTGAAACACCTAACCACTGTTTCCTTCCACATAATACGATACTCTTGTATTTGTTAGCATGTAATGGGGTGGGGGTGATGGGTTGGCAAAGTACGTGTGAGTGAGTGCATATGTAACCAGCCATTTTAGGGTCAGTTCTGCCCAGCAGAATATGCGTGAAAATGTCTAATGTAATAGTTCTCTACCCTGATTCCTTCTTCTTTTTTGGTAATTTCTTTATTTCCTGACCTTGAGTTAATGTAAAAAGTAATGTTTTACTTCCCACCTTCCCTGATGAAGGCAGAGTTAATGGATGGATATAGCAGGGGCAATTTCAGCTTCATGGAAGGAAAGCGCTCTGAGGGTTAAAATTGCCTGGTGATAACTGAGCCTTTTGGACCAGGGTGTGGCCTGGTATTGCAAGTACTTCCTGCCAGAGGCTAAAAGACCCTCTGTCCATGATGTACTGCCCCTTCCAATGCCAGGAATCCATATTCCCAGAAACAAACTAGGCTCACAGCAGTCCTTCTGCCTCCCAACTCCAGGTCAAGAAAGGCACAAAGATGTCCAACAAATAATACTGAAGCCGTGCTTTGGATCCAGGAGACCATGAGGTACCAGAAGAGGAGTTCTGATGGCCCCATCTGGCAGTTAGGAAAGGTGAGGCACCAAGAGATAAATACTTTCAGTCATACTTGAGAAGGTACCAGAAATTTAAGGGAGAGACTCTCTTTTTCCTGGGAAGGGAGGGGGTGAGACTCTACCAACAATAGTGAGCACAACTTTCAACACAGAGACAAGTCTAGCTCTTCAGCCACCACAGGACAGCAGCCAAGGATACCATAATTGTCTTCAGAGTGGTGGAGCTGATTCCTTCACAGAGGGAATCCCTAACTCCAAACTCTGGGGCCCACCTTTGAGACTGCATCCAGGGCTGAAGATTTAGGCAAGAACGGCCTGGGCAGGCACATAAGGTAGCTCTGCTTAAGGCATGGCTGATGTCTGCCAGGCATGGGCTTCACACTGGGAGGTAAGCATCAGACACCACTGCCCACCCCAAGTCATCCTGCAAGGAGCTTCATGGGTAGACAGTGCTGCCTGAGGAAACCACCACCTCCTGGGCCCAGGATTTCCATTAAAGCTTAACAGCATCACCAAACCAATCCATTTCCTGTGCCACTTGGGAGAATGAGAGAGAAAGAGACAAATTGATCATTATCTGCGGATGATTGTCTAACTAGAAAACCTAAAGGACTCAACTGAAAAAGTATCGGGGCTAATAATACAATTTGCTCTGGTGACGGATTGATCGTCAAGCATACAAAACACCAATGATTTTTCTGGTTCACTTTGTGCATGGCCTGACACCTTGGAAGTGCTGTGCTTTTCTGGCAGGCCTCCAAGCTTTGTGCAATGTGCCATATTTTGAAAGATGGAGGTAATCCTGATGCCCCTCAGCTGGTGCAACTGAAAGCCTTATCAGACACCAGTATTAGAAAGATGCCTTGGGCAACTGCGTTTGAAGGGGTGTCCCCCTCCATGCTCTTGAGGGGTGAAGAGCTTCCTACGCAGCTACACTCCATTCCAACCCAAAAGACATAGGGAGGTTTGGCAAGGGTGGATGTAGGCAAAGACTGTGCCACGGCATCTCCAAACTAAGTAATTTTTTTAAAAAAACAGTGCAGAATGAAAAGTTCCATGTCTGTCCTTTCATTGCTTCGTTGGCCAGAAGGCTAGGGAGTTCATGGTGCTGGCCCTGGAGTTCCGCCCTGGGACTCTGTGCCAGTCTGGCCAGAGCAGCGCAGCAATCATTTGCGGTCGAGGCTGGCGTGTAGTTGGGCCTCCCGCACCATTCGGTCGAAGGAGCGCGTGTTGGTTTCCTCTCGCACCTTCTCACGCACGTGGAAGGAGGCGCGGGCTGTGGAGCGAGCACTTTCCAGCGCACTGCGTCGTTCCCGCGTCAGCTGCTCGCTGCGCTCCAGCTTCCGCCCGATTGCTTGGAGCAGTTCCCTCCGGCGGCAGTCTTCGTCTCTCTCTACCTTCTCCTTGTTAGCGCGCTGGGCCCGCTCTTTCTCCAACCGCGTCTGGCCTACGCGCCGGGCCTTTTGCTGCACTGCCTCTTCGGCCACCTGCGCGGCGTGCTGCAGCCGACGTTCCCCGGCCCGAGCCAGGGCCTCCAGGTGAGCCTGATGTTCCCGCTCTTTGCGTTCCGCGGCCTCCTTGGCTCGCCGGCTTTGCAACTCCTCCTTCCGGGCCCTCTCCCTCAGCTCCCGGGTGCGCTGTTCCACCAATTGCTCATAGTTTTCCTGCGCGCGGCCCAAGCTGGCCTCCAGGGAGCTCCGCAGGCCCTCTCGCTCCTCATGCTGCTGCCGGGCTCGACCCCGCAACAACGCCTCGTGTCGCGCTCGCTCTGCACGACTCAACTCCCGCTTCTCGCGCTGCAGCTGGCCCTCCTGCCGCTGCTTGGCGCGGGCTGCTCGCTGGGCACGCTCCCTGCGGACCTGTTCAGCCCGCTCGCGCCCTTCCTGCAGGCCCTCTTCCCGCTGCTTCAGGTTCTGCTCCTGCTGCAGCTTACGCAGCCGGTCCTCCCGAGCGGCGCGCTCCACCCGCTCCCGCCGCAGTAGGCCCTGGCGCTCGGCCAGCTCCCGCCGTCGTTCCTCGCTGCGTTCGCACTGCTGCTGTCGCCGTCGCGCTGCCTCACGCTCCTCGCGGCCCCGGCGGCCGCGTCGCTCCTCCACCTGCGCAGCCCAGGCCCGCCGGCCTTGCTCTAGGGCGCGCTGCTTCTCGCGCTCCTCCCGCTCCCGCCGCTGCTCGGCACGCACGCGCTGCTGCTCCCACTGGCCGTGGGCTGCGGCGCGCTGCTCCAGCAACAGGCGCTCCTCTTGGTGCCGCGCCAGCATGAGCGCAGCGATCTTCCGGTCCCGCTCTGGCACCCCGCGCAGGCCTCGCTCGGCGCGCACTTGGCGTACGATGCGTTCCACATGCTGAGCAGTCTGCGGAGAGTGGCTCAGGTCGCCAAGGCTGAAGCTTCGGCCTGTAAGTGGAACCAGGGTAAGCGCCGAAGGACGGCCCAAAGGGTTGGAGACAGAGGACGCTGACCCTGCCGGGCAGCTGTTCCTGGCTGAGGCCCGGGGCGGCCAGCGAAGTTCTCGAAGGCTCTCCCCGCTGTAGGAGGACGACGATGCACCGGACTCGGAGCTGAGAGCACCATCACGCCGGCGGGACAGCGAGTCCAGCGAGTGGCTCTTTCTTCCTGTCCGAGAACCTGCCGGAGGAGGTTGGATCCGAGCAGAGGAAGGACTGGGAGAGGCCTTGCGGGCGGCACGCGGTGCGGGTGACGCGGGGAGGCTGGTGCTGCTGCAACTGCTGCTGCTGCCCGCGCTCTGAGCTGGGGCTGATGCTGAGGCCGCGGCGGCGGCTGCAGCCGCGGGGCCCAACGGCGTGAAGAGGCGCCGCTTCTCTTCGCGTACGATTCGCTCGCGCTCGGCCCGGCACTGCTGTAATTTGGAGCGCCGCTCCGCCTCGTACGCCTCGTACAGGCCAGTGGCCACCCGCATGGAGCGGCCAGGGGCCTCTCGCACTAGGTCAGCCAAGGCCCGTGGCAGCAGCTCCACGGGCTTGACAGCACAACGGGCGCAGGCCTCTAGCGAGCGGGGGCTGGTCAGCACGTAGCGGCTGCCCTCAGCCTCGGGACAGTCGAAGTTGAAGAGGTCGAGATGCAGCATCGGGGACTGCTCCCGTCGTCCTCCTTCTGCTGAGCCAGGGACTTCTGCCTTGTGCGGCACCGCCGCGGAGGCCGAGGCAGAGGAGGCTGCGGGCTGCTGGGCGCCCTGGGCGTCAGGGGGCACAGACGCCGTGGCCCCGTCCCCTTCCGAGCCTCCTGGCTCGGCTCCCTCCTTCTCCTCTTCAGGCACCGGGTCCACCATGGCTGAGCCTCGTCCTTTGTTGGAGTCTCTGCAAATGACAAGGAGGGACATAGAGGAATACAGCTGAGAACTGTTTTACCCTTCTCATCCATATTCACCCCTCCTAACTTAATCCGCTTTCAGATTAGGCTGAGAGGCCTGGTGGAAAGTAAATCGTAAAACCGATGCCCTGAAAATCCAGGCTGGGGGCGGGGGGGAGGGAACTGGTCCTCAGAGCAGCCTCAATCTCCCTCGGCCCCGGAATGCGAATCCTGTGGTTAGGCCCCCTGGGCATCTAGCCCTCTAGATGCATCCCCATTCTACTGCAAGTTAAAATGAAAAGATACTAGCGCCGGCAGCATCCATCGGGGGAGGCGCTAGAGGATTCCCGGGCGGATTAGTGTATTTGTTTGTAGCTTAGGCGGGCTGCGGGGATGCAGCTTTGCAGGAACAAAAAAGGAAGAGGCCTGTTCATCCCAAAGTGCATTGCTGCAAGGACCCCATTTGCCTCGGGAAGAAGTTTACACTTGATTTCCACTCCCAAAGGAGATCCGTGCTCGGGAGCCCCCGGGTGATGGAAGGACTGAAAGAAATCCCCAAAGACCCTTGCAGGAGGGCGATGGTTTCTTGCTCGTGTCTTTCCGGCAGGGCTTGCTAGGAGCTCTGCCTGCCTGCCCCCTCCACCTCCAGCCCCCACGGGTGTTTACAGGAGATGCCGAACGCGCCTGCAGCCTCCCACATGCACCCAATCTCCTCCAAGTCTAATGTGCTAAAGGTATCCTCCACTCGTCTGAGCTAGAACACCCGCCCCCTGATGCCCACCAGTTCTCCCACCGCATCTCCGCAGGCTGGGCTCCTTGAGTGCAGTGAGCCCAGCCGCGCCAGTGCCTGCTGCTTTGGGTTCCCAGATCGGTTCACTCACCCCACGTCCCGGGCTCCGGCCCCTCGCTGAGGGCTTTTGTTCGAAGCTCCGCTCTCGCTCGAGCCTCTTCAGTCTCTGCACTGGTGGGGTCGGGTTACTGCGGGCTGCAGCCACGAAAGGAGCCCCAGCTGCCGCCGCCTGCGCCTCTCCATGGGGTCCGCAAGCAGGGTGCAAACACCCCAAACACTACCTACACGCAGGAGGGGGAGTGCGACAAACTCTCCCTAAAATAAAGCAGCTGTGTTCCCTTTGCTCTCAGCGATTCTTAAAAAAGGAAGCCGGGTTCCATCGCTGCTGCATCCATCTCCACCTCTACAACCGTGAAGGTACCGCAGGTTTTTCGCTGCCCCCCGGCGCCTCCTGGTGGATACATAAGGGATAGTTTATTTGCTTAGAGGATGAAGAAATAAAAAATGCAGCATCTACATACAATATGTATATATAATATTTATGTATACATGAGTACTAAATACACATCTATGTGGATATATCACCAAGAAAACTAGGCTTTCTTAACCTTAGCTGAGTAGAGTGAGGGAATCACTCAGCTTATTTTTCAAGGGGATCCTGAGGAGCAAAGAAACTTGATAGGAATAATGGGGTGGACATGTGGCACCTGATCCAAACTGTAATTTTATTTTTAAAGAAAGACTAAGCAGGGACTGGGGTTGTGGCTCAGTAGTAAAGTGCTTGCCTAGCATGCGTGAGGCACTGGGTTCAATTCTCAGCACCACATACAAATAAATAAAATAAAGGTCCATCAACAACTAAAAAATATTAAAAAAAAAAAGACTAAGCATACTCATATGGATTCGAGGCAGGAAGAACATATGTGTCTAGTTAATGCAACATTTTATGACTTACTAGTTCCAGATATAAAATTAAAAGCAGTTAGAATCATTTCATGAGTGTTATGTTGAGATGCCTTCTCCCCACCTCTTTTCCATTTTGAGTGGTACTGACCAGAAGAGAGGGATGGAAGAAATCCTTGAGGGAGGGGAGTCAAGGGAGAGTATGAGGGGAAGAGCATCAGAGACCATGGTGAACTATGTTGTTAAAGAACTTTGACGTAGTAAAGTAGGCCGTAAGGAGAACAAGGAAATAACATGATTTGGTTAATATTTGAAGAACATGACTCTAGCAACAATAGGGTGGGGACCAGGAGGAGGCAGGAAGCCCAGGCAGGAAGCATTTACCCAAGGCAGGGAGGATTGGGACCAGAAAGAGAGAGCAATGGTGGAGAAATGGGCCCTATGGGGAAGCTTATGGACTCTGGAAGCAGAGTCAAAGAATCAACACTCAAGGATGACATGGCTCTGGGGTGTGAAGACAGCAAAGGATCAAGGCCGACTGCCTGGAACAAAAAGGTGGCTACATATGCCCCAGAGAGTGGATCCAACAGGGAGGTTTTAACTGGTGTGGGGCCAAGGAAGGACAGGTTTATTTTTCTAACACTTGATTGTGGGGCAGAGCTGCTCAACAGGTGGCTGGATAGGTCATGTCAAAAGGTCTAGACAGGAGCTAGAATTTAGGGTATCACCACCATATGCAAGATCCTAAACCAACAGTCTGAGATTTCCCAGGGAGGGCAGAAGAGAAGCTGGCAGGTAATGGTGCTGTTCTGAGAAAAATAGTCCATGAAGGAGGCCAAAAAGCAGAGGCAGGAAAGTGGTCTAGTGTAAGCTACTAGCAGAGCACTTCAGGAGAATGTGCCCTTGTGCTCAGTCCTCAGAGGTCCAGAAGGATTCCTACTAGAGTCAAATACCTATGGAAACTGTCGATTGTCAGTCTTTGGTGAAACTGGCAAAAGTAGCTTAGTATGGTACCCAAACCAGATACCACAGAGCAGGAAGTTGAGGTGCATGGGGGATGACAGAGAGTTACAGATCTTTTTGACATTGGGTGATAGTATTAAGAATTGAATTTGGAATTCTATCCCACTTATATGCTAGCAAGTGAGCCTGCCACAGTCTGTGTCACAGATGTTGACACAAGATTCCTGGGACAGAAACAAAGGACCTTGTCACTCATGGCACAGTAGGCACATGAAGTTCATGGTTTTGCTCCACAGGTCCCACAGGGGCTTGCGGAGAGGTGAACCCAGTTTGTACATATCCTTACAAAATAACCCAGAACAGAAGCCTTATAAGACATGTAGAATGACTCGAAGGATTGCTCTCCGTGGAGAAAAGGAGCAATTGCTCACCTGGCTGGTAAGAGGTGGGGCTGGGATTTGGACCCGGCTTTGTCTGATCCTGAATTGAACCCATATATTTCATTTCCTCACAAAGCTGAGCATCTGGAGAGGTGTGGATTCAGGCGGAGATGAATGGGGTGGTCAAGTCAACCTCTCCAAGCCTGCATTTCCCCCTCTTTACATGGAATCCTATTAAGTTGCCTCTCTCAAAGATTAATCAAATCACCAGGAGCAGTACACATGCCTGTAATCCCAGGATCTCGGGAGGCTGAGGCAGGAGGATTGTGAGTTCAAAGCCAGCTTCAGGAACTTAGTGAGGCCCTAAGCAACTCAGCAAGATCCTGTGTCTAAATAAAATATAAAAAGGGCCAAGGATGTATGTAGCTCAGTGGTAAAGTGCCTCTAGGTTCAATCCCTGAAACAACAACAACAAAAAGATTAATCGAATCTATAAAAGAGCTATATAAATGTTATGTTTCTCCTCAGTTTTCACATTTGTTAAATAGAGACAATTACATCTGCTTTGTAGGATTGTTGTCAGAACTAGAAAGACTATATACAAAGTACCTAAACCAACACACTAAGTGGTGATAAAATACTTACCATTTAGATACCTTATCTTCCAGGCTTGGTTAGAACCAATTTGGAAACATCTATAATGTTTGCCAAGTTCTCAAGGGGAAGCCCCTGAAATGTTCTGCTCTTGATTATGGCATGATTCTTTGTCTGGGAAGGTCACAGAAGAGGGCATGAGAAGGGAGCCTTGAAACAGGACACAGCCCTAGCAGGCCACTTCAGCAGAGCTCGCTTGACAATCATGGGGTGCCACTGAACGGTTGGATACCCCATGTCTCTCATCCCTGCGTCCTAGGAGCATTTCAGAGGATGGATTTCACATGAGTGAAGTTCTGACTTCCTACAAGTTGGAAGTCCTAGCTTGTCAAAGAACAAGAGTGTTGTGTTATATCCAATTTCATTATGATACCCAGTAAAGAAAGCATCCCAGTTTGGGAATACCCACCTGCTCCTTAGAAGTAGAGTGGTGGACAATAATACCTGCCTTGTAGAAATGTGGGTTTCAGAGTCATTTATGGCTTCACCAGGCTGTGTGATTCGAGGAATTTTCTTAACATCTCTAAGTCTCAACTTTTAGACTTTAAGCAAGGAAGGCATAATATGGACTATTGTTTTGACTTGCACACATCCTTTTAATAATAATTTACCAGTTATGTTCTTAGTCCCTTTAACAAGTAGCTCATTAATTTAGACAAAAACGCATTCAATGTAGATGTTATCACTTCTATTTAAATTCCTTTTGCTCAGCCCTACCACCTGCCTCAGTTCTGTACTCATTCTCTACCAATATAATCCTATTGTCAGAAGAGAGGATTTTAATTTTTTTAGTACTAGGGCCTGAAGCCAGATGCACTTTACCATTGACCTACATCCCAAGACCTTTTTCTTTATTTTGAGACAGAGTCTCACTAAGTTACTGAAGCTGGCCTGGAAAATGTGATCCTCCTGCCTCAATATCCCGAATCACTGGGATAACAGACCTGTGCCACTGAACCTGGCTGAATGGAGGGTTTTTTTATTTTTATTTATTTTTTTAATACATACAATATCTTTCTTTATTTTC